CGTTTATTATTGAGGCTACCTAGGTACATATCCTTGCTCTAACATTGCTCCGGTAACATGGTACATCGAGGTTTTGTTGCAGACATGGTACAAAGTAAAAAGCATACAGGATGATACTCACAGATAATCACGAGAAAAAGAAGCACTCCCTCTTCGACTTGACCGTAAGCAAGCCGGCATTCTCAAAGTGGAAAAGTTCGGGATGTGGGCACCTTGAACGGCCAAGGACAAAGCGGAAGGCGGGGTGCGAAATTATAATTGCTTCCCCGCATAATGCTTGTTTTCCTTTCTGTGGCCCGTATACAATGATTGTGGGACCACTCAGGCTGCCGGTCGGTCCATCTCCGTACTCCCAACCAGGAACAAAAAAGCAGCGTGCTTTTCAATGTTTGAAGCATTAACGGAGATTGATACTTCTTCTTCACGTTCTTCGTTTTGATATAAAATTGAAGAACAATTTTCCCCAGCCTCGTCCTGAGCACCCATGACATCAGCTTGTTGCAGCAACGAAATAAAAGGATATGTATTGCCGTGCGACATTTGCAGATCGATTATTTAATCCTTGGTAACGTCACACTGCAGACTTGAGGATACCATGTGCAGTCTAATCGTCTAAATTGATACGCGTCACAAACATTGGCAAACCTATAGCCAATGCAACCTATAGTTGACTCTTCCGCATCTAGGCAATAGAAAGATGATCTTCCGTGGTCGGCTACCGCCGGTTAGTATTTAAAGAGGTTAATTTCCCTCATCAGTTGCTTTATACGCACGCAGTATTTACAGCCCCCACAATTCAACGCAATGCAGATGATCTACTACTCTTTCTTGCTAGGGGCAATTGGTGCCTTGGGTGCTACACTAGCTGATTTTTGCACTCAAGATCATGTGCAAGAGTCGCTTCCTCAGGGTGTTTTGCCAGGCGTCACCTTTGATGCGGCTTCCATCACAGCCAACGCAGTCAGCAACCAAACTGTCACGGGTGGTTCCAACTTTCCTGGGGGCACCATAAGTTACTGCAATGTGACTTTTCAATACGCCCACGCCAATCTCGACGAGACAATCATTCTCATGTACTGGCTTCCAGACCCAGCCGAGTTCCAGGGTCGGTTTCTGGCTACTGGGGGAGGTGGACTGGCCATCAGTTCAGGCAGTTCCTACTTACCTGGGGGCATTCTGTATGGCGCAACCGCTGGCACCACGGACGGAGGATACGGGGGCTTCCAGTCTTCACTTGACAATGTTGTACTGGCTGGCAATGGCTCCCTGCAGTGGAACTATATAACTCTGCATGGTTATCAGGCAATCCACGAGATGACTGTCATTGGCAAGAGCTTCACAGGCAACTTTTATGATTACAACGACAAGATATACACTTATTACCAAGGCTGTTCTGAGGGTGGACGCGAAGGATGGAGCCAGGCTCAGAAATTTGGTGCTGAATACGACGGCATCATTGCAGGTGCACCTGCTTTTCATTATGCCCAGCTGCAGACCACACATATTTTCCCCTCTGTTGCCGAACAAACATTGGACTACTATCCTCCACCTTGCGAATTAAGTACCATCACCAGCGGGATTGTCACTGCATGCGATCCCCTGGACGGGAAAGCTGACGGAGTGATTGCACGAAGCGACCTCTGCCGCCTGGATTTCAACATTAGCACACTTCTCGGTACACCTTACTACTGCAACGCAACTTCGACGCGACCGGTGCAAGATGGTACCGTATCTGCTCAGGCGTTGGAGTTAGTGGACATCATTATGGCAGGCCTTCACAATTCCAAGGGTGAATTGGTCTGGGTGCAACATGAGCCCGGCGCTGGATTTAGTGATGCCACCACTACATACGACCAGACCACTGGAACATGGAAATACAGCATTCCTGCCATCGGTGGCGACTATGTGACTAGATTCATCCAGCAAGTAGAGTTGTCGAATTTGCCAAATTTGGACAATGTGACATACGACACACTATCTGGCTGGATCATTGAGTCAATGTATACATACATGAGCACCTTGCAAACCACATATCCCGACCTTACAGATTTGCAACAGGGAGGCGGAAAGATCATTCATTATCATGGCGAGCAGGACGGATCCATTGCCACGGGATCATCAGTTATATACCGCGAGGCTGTTCGGCAGGTCATGTTCCCTGGCTTATCATACAACGAGAGTAACTCCAAGTTAGACGAGTTCTACCGCTTCTACCTGATTCCCGGCGCCGGGCATTGCGGGCCCAACACGGCACAACCCAACGGGCCCTTTCCACAAACGGTAATTCAGACGATCATTGACTGGGTCGAAAATGCTATCGCGCCCGAGACACTCAATGGTACAGTTCTTCAGGGTCAGAATCAAGGTCAAAACCAACAGATTTGTGCATGGCCACTGCGGCCATTCTGGCAGGATGGCTCCACACTGGCGTGCGAGTATGATCAAACATCGATTGATAGTTGGACAACAGCAGCCGACTTGAATGCTTACAAGACGGCATTTTATTAGATGAGAATAGAAAGAAAGGTCCCTTCTTTTGATCACACTTGGTGTAGTCATTACCATGTCATGCAGTCGGGCCAAAAGAGTTGGACATTCAATTTGAGTGCTTCGTTCACCAATTTCAAATTATATATATTTTTGGTTCCTCTATGCCTGTTTGTTTGTGAAGTTGGGGCGACTGTGCTGGAGCCTAATGTACCTACCTCGAGAAGGAGCGCGCAGTCAGCGCTAGCGCTAGCGGTCCAGCGCCACTAATAAGCCTGAGCGTCGCACTTCTGACAACCGCAAAGTTACGACTGTCCTGCCAAGCCAGTGATGGCTTGTGCCTGCCATCACAATTGGGGTGACCGTGCAGCCGCAGCGACATGAGATAACAACGCGCAATCGCATCGTACGTACAAGAAAGAAATCAAACGACAGCGGCGCACCTCTTTCACATCCTCTTCGATGGAATTGATCAAACAGAAACCGGCCAAGTGGGCAAGGACAAGCACCGAAAAGACGAGGACAGGTTGCATCACCTGCAAAAAGCGCCATGTCAAGTGCGACGAAGCCAAACCGTCTTGTGGCAATTGTCTCAAGAGACAAGGCTATTGCGAAGGCTACGCAACGAGACCAAAGACGAAGAAGAAGCTGCCAGGCCTGCTTTCTTGGAACTCCAAGGAGAGAAACCCCGCCAACGATGCTGCTCAACCTTATCCCGCGCTTCAGCTTCTAGTGGACCCAGACTCCTTGGACCCTCAAGATCAAACTGGAATGCCCTACTTCTTGGAGTTCATATCGCTGGCACAGGGCCCCTGGGTCACTGCGATCTCCAGCGATGACCTATGGACTGCCATGATACCACAGATTTCAACGAATAATGAGACGCTCCGGTGTGCCGCAAACGCAATTGGTGCCCTGAGTATATGGCGCCAGCAATCTAGTGGAAGGCTGACTGGTCAAGTTTGTGCGCCAGAAAATCCAGACACCGCGGAAGACAGACATTACTTTGAAGCAATTGCCTATTACTGCCGCGCGCTCAAGAATGTCCAAGAGGAAACATCGTCGCAGGGAACGATACTCTTGTCGGTAATGCTTCTTCTCTTTGAACTTCTCCGAGGCAATAAGAAGGTTGCTTTGGATCACGTCAATCACGGACTAGCCGTCTTGTTGACTTTACTAACCGATGAGAACTCTCAACGCTTCATTGACAACTTTGCTCCAAATCCAAGGCCGATTCTCGGAGCTATCGCGGACACCTTTATCAGCCTAACAACCAACACCCGCGCCATCCTTCGCGGCCGAATCGACCAAGGCCCCTCCCTACCCAACCTAGTTCGAGGATTGAAGACAAGAAAAGAGACCGTGTCATCATTTGTAACCCGTTTGAGTCAGTTGCATGGCTCTCATACCGTCTTTGACCAGGTACCACCCGTGTACGAGAGTCTCGAGGAATTCGAGGAACACTGGACGGCTGTTCGACGCCGGCAGACCACCATGACTGTAATCATGCTCGAAGCCCTACAAGATTTTCGACAGTCCGAACATGATTCTATCAACCAATTTTTCACCGAGCTGTGCGAGAACCCACGGATTCACGAGTTCTGTCAGCACTCGGTCGAAGTAGTCCAAGAGCTATACGCTGCATTCTCACCTCTGTTCAACAAAATCATCATGGGTGACATGAAATCTCCGGCTTACCTCAAAGCGATTCATCTACGTATGGCATTAATAGGTGTTCAGATCTTTGAGGACCCTCCGCGCATGCTTGATGTTGCATCAGTACAATCACAAACACCACTGTACCACGAATTTCTATCTTTAGCCAGCTCCGCTATCCAGGTGGCCAAGCAGGAAATAACCAACCCAGCCCACCAAGTCTCACTGCAGAGCACCCTGGCGTGGAACCTCTTTGTCGCCTCCTACTTCTGTCGCGATCCTCTAGCGCGTGATCAGGCCATGTGGATGTTGCGCGACTACCCTGGCCAGGACGGGCTTTGGGACGTACAGAGTCTATTTGCCCTGGCGCAGCGAAATCGAGACGTGGAACGAGCCAACACCGTACAGGGTACAATGGCAGAGCAGTGGCGTCGGCTGTTGCGCCGAGAACTTCTCTTTGAGGACGGTGGAGATCGTGTTGTTTTTCGCTACCTCGAAATGGATGTACAATCTAGCGAGTGGAAGCTGGTCGAAGAGGTTGCCGACATTGCTGACACAGTAACTGGAGAGGTTGTCTGGACAAGGCGGCCGCTCACGGGAAAAGGTGGAATGCTCATGTTTGAATTATATGAGAATTGACGTCTATTGTCGACAAATTACAATAAAACTATTAAACAAGTAATCTTTTCTATTCTCTAATTACCTCTGTGTTTCTCTTGGTTACTAAACAAAGTATGATTTAGACACGAACACAGACCGCTCGATGCGGTGAAAACGAATGCATGAATCGAGTGCGGCTATGTCCCGAAGAAACAGAAGGTGAAGCAAGAAATTATCAACAAATGCACAAACCTTTCTCCAACGCCTGAGCCAATGCAAATGCCAGGGCAGAATGATGAGCTACAAAGGAAATGTCCTGTAAAGGTATGGGCATTCTCAAACAGAAGAGTAGAGCTGCCGCAAGTATCAGCCATCCAAGCCCAACGCCTTTCAGTTACTGATCCGTGGCCTGACTTTGACACTACGAAGAATTAGCAAAAAAGACGTGACTAGCCAAGTAGACAAAACTCACCATATCCCAATAGACACCCCGCTTTTGCAAGAGCTCAGCATGCGTGCCCTTTTCCAAGACAGAGCCTTGATCAAAGACGAAAATGACATCGGCATTCTGAACGGTAGAGAGCCGATGAGCAACCGCAATGACGGTGCGGCCGTGGCGTATCTTTTCAAAGGCGGCCTGCACCACCTTTTCCGACTCGGAGTCCAGCGCCGACGTGGCCTCGTCCAGTAGCAGAATCTTGGGATCGCGAATCAGGGCCCTCGCAATGGCGATGCGCTGCTTCTGGCCGCCGGACAAGCTGACGCCTTTTTGTCCCACGTCCGTGTCGTAGCTTTGGGGCAGGGAAGTGATGAAATCGTGGATAAAGGCATCCCGGCAGACCTTGTGTAGTCTCTCATCCGGAACGTCGCTGTGGGCGGGGAGGCCAAAAAGGATATTGTCTCGCACAGAGCCGCGGAACAGGGCGGGCTCCTGAGAAACGAGCGACAGGTTTTGCCGGTAATCTTGGAGGGCGAAGCGGTTAATGTCCGCCCCGTTGCATGAGATTGTGCCCTGATCTGCTGGAATGTCGTAGAATCTCTCGAGCAAGGAGATGATCGTGGTTTTGCCGCATCCCGAGGGGCCCACGAATGCCGCATACTGGCCCTGATCTATGCTCAGATCCAGCCCTCTGAAAATGGGTACATCTCGAGTTGGATACTGGAAGTGAATGTCTTGAAGATCAATTCTCACACCTTTTTCCGAGTTGGGAAATTCCCTGTCTCCTTGTGCCTCGTCACGATCGATCACGGCAGAAGATTGAACGTCGAATATGCGATTAGCAGCTGCAGTCGCCTGCGCTGCGTTTGGCGTAACGGACAAGACCTGGCCCGCCGCCTCTGCCCCTTGAATGATTGCCATGTAGCATACAAAAAAGGCTTCTAGCGAAAATTCTCCCTTGATCAAGAGATTGCCGCCGTACCAAAAGATCAAAGCCTGACAGCCAAGACCGACACTGTCTGCAAAGCCAAAGAATGCGCATGTCCACTGGGCCTTGATGCGAGCCTTTTGAACGTGGTCGTTTAGCAACTTGCGATATCTCGCATTGATAGAAGATTCCATAGCCAGGGCAGAGACGGTTCTCATGGCGTTTATGGCCTCGGTGGCAAACTGCGAACTCTCGGTAAAGACGGCCGAGTTCATGCTGTCAAACTGGATTTCGTGCCGAAACTTCCACAGACCCGACGAAACCATGGTCGGCATGGTGACAAAGAATGATATCAAGCCGAGTTTCCAGCTAAAAGATAGTGCAATGATGACGCACCCAATAATTGTAAAGATGCCGTTGAGGACAAGAGCGAGATTCATACCGAAAAGCTCCTCCAAATGTTTTGCGTCGCCAGCGATACGGCTGCTCAACGATCCATGAGAGTTGCTGTCTTGATCGAAGAACTTGATCTTTTGTTGCAGTATATCCGTCATGTACGTGACCTTGTACGCCGCGCTGATCGAGTACTGGACGTGGGCGCTGAGCCAGGCCACCACGAGCCAACTTAGACCAACGCCTCCCGCGAGAGCAAACCACATGAATCCCCAGAAGCTCGATTCCCTTCTGAGATCGTCTCCCTGTAGGGTGAAAACAGTAATGACTTTGGCGAAAAGCCAGGCCTGCATCGGCGTGCCAGCAGCTGACACCACGCTAGCCATAACAACGGTGCTAAAGAACGGCCAGATTGACTTTTGCTCCCGCAAGATCCTTGCAAAGTTGTGCGAAAGACTTCTTGGCGGCTTCTCTGCAGTCATGTCCCCTTTTGTCGAGTGATTGGAGACGTGATCGTGAATACTTATTGCCTTCTCAAGATCTTCCGAAACGGCGACGCTGGGTGTATCAGCAATCTGTGAAGCTGACTGCGACACTTGTAGGGATTGTGCGTCAACCAAGGATCTGTATACGCTCGTGGAGTCTGTCATGAGACTTTGATGCGTACCCTCCTCGACCGCTCGTCCCTTCTGCAACACAATAATGTGATCTGCCTTCTTGATTGTAGAAAGACGATGTGCTATTGTGACGCTTGTGCGGTTTTGTGTAATTTTGTCTAGGGCCGCCTGGACGATCCCCTCGCTCCTTGTGTCAATGGCGCTCGTGGCTTCGTCAAGGATTATGATCTTGGGTCTCTTTATGATGCACCTCGCAATAGCTATACGTTGTTTTTGGCCTCCGGACAATTTGGCGCCACCGTCTCCGACCATCGTATCGTATCCCTGTAAGTAAAAGGCAAAGTCAGTACCGAAAATTCGTCAGGGAGTCTTGGAGGACTAGTAAAATAACTTACGTCAGGAAGGCGGTCAATAAACTCTGCAGCGTACGCTTCTTGACATGCTTGTACGACAAGCTCTCGCTTTCGCTGCTCGGACTCATTGGCCCATGGAGATCCAATAAGACCATTGGCTACATTGCCATAGATGGTGTCGTTGAAAAGAAATGGCTCCTGCTGGACGAGGCCAATTTGGGACCTCCACCATTTCGGGTCGAGCTCGGACAGTTTGTGATTGCCGACAGTGATTGAGCCACACGCGCTGTGTTCGGTGGCATCCGTGTCCGCCACCTTCATGTTTTCCAATGGGTACCAGTGCTCTATCAAGCCGACGATTGTGCTCTTGCCAGAGCCTGAAGGACCCACGAGAGCTGTATTCTTGCCGTTTCGGATACGCAAGGTTAGTCCGTCGAGGACTTTTGCATCGGGTCGGTTGGGGTATTCAAATGTGACATTGTCGAAAACGATATCCTCCAGAGAGATGTCGGGCTGGAGAGAGCCCACCTTGGGGAGAGGAGCGTCGATGACGGTGAAAAAGTCACAGGCGGCTACCATGGCCTGGCTTACTGATATCAAAGGCGTGCTAACTCTCTCCAAGGACATGAGGACCAGTAGAACAGACATGAGTACCACAATAACAACGCCAGCATTACTAATGGCACCAACACTGTAGCGTTGTGTGCCATACCAGAATGCCAATCCAAAGGCACCAAACATGCCAAAGTACTGAAATTCAATCTGGTTAGTGGCATGTTACGAATGCGATAGGTAGCAGATCACTTACAATCGATCCAATCTGGATTCCTATAATCGGGGCAGTCCTGTACCCCTTCTTTCGCGATTTTTCGACCCACTCATTGTAACTCGAGAGAATACGTTTCTGCGCACCAAATGCCATGACGAGTCTGACGTTAGCTAGGGCTTCGCTGGCAATGCTAGTAGCTTCAGCATCTGTCTGAGCCATGACAGTCTGACCCTTGACCACGCGAGGCATCGTGAAGGACAGGACGACAATAATGTATAGTAGTAGCGAGCACGTCACTAGAGTCAAATCCCAGCTCCACACAAATGCAATGACCAGCGATGACACGATCGTCACCAAGGACTGCAGAAAGGAGCCCAAGCGCTCGGAGACGCCCAATTGCAAGGTATTCGAGGTCGTACTGATGGCCGTCGCTGGTGCGCCCTGAGGCATGCAATCGATGGTGTGGATCGGCTGTGCAAACAGTGCTTCGAGATAGTCTCGTCGAATGGCAGATGACAGGCGAATACCAATCATTCTGAAGCAGAATTTGTTGATTGAGCTCAGCGCCCATCGAACGAAGAAGATGGCCATGATATACAAGGCTTGCTGATTGAGGATTGAACTGAAACTCTGACTGGAAGACAAGCTAAAGTCGGTGAATTGGCCCACGAGTTGACCAAATATTATGTTCATCAGTGGCATCGTTATGCCGGCACCGAGAGAGGCCAGAACGGCGACTGCGTAGATACACCAGTCCCATCTTGTCGCGTACGAGAAGATTCTGAAGTAGTCGGACGCGGTCGGGACGCGTTTCGGAGTCTCCTGGTCGGTTTGTTTCGTTTCCTCTTGATCTTCAGCCATGTCTGGTGGTCTTTCTTGCTGAGTCTTGAAAAGTGTGAGGTCAATGGTCTTTATATACAAGAAGAGAAGGGGGACGGAAATACGGAAGAACGTCTGTCGATTTAGAATGGAGGCAAATAAAAGATGGTAAAAGCCCCTTTTGAGTCATTCCGGGGGAAGATGAATACACAAACACAAGAAGACAATAAATTTGGAGGGATCTCGTTCACCATCAACATGAAAATACTTGACTAATGACAGACCCCAAAGGAAATGCTCCACTATTTCGCGATTACCGCTTTGGGAAGTTTACGAGCCGGACTCAATCAGGACCCCGTATTACCGATCGAGGCGCTTAACCTTTTTCAGCTAGTCTTTCTCACTAAAGTCACTGCCTGCCAATTCCCCACAGTAAGTCCTAGCTACCACTGAGCTGCCGGTGTCCCACCACTGTGCCAGGTTACGTCAACGTACAATCCTCCTTATGTAGTAGGCTCTGTTATTGGTGGCATGTGGGCTGGAGATGGGACAAGAGCCTTGAGACCACTGAGTTGAGGTACCAAGCTCTATCAATCTATCACATAAACATTCCAAAGATGGTATCATCTGCCAGCGGACCATTATCCGAAATCCCGTCAAAGAGAAAGTTGTGTAAAGAATCATCCGGATTGACCATGAGCATTTCTTGCTCAATATTAAAGATCATAGTTTCTGGAAAGCCTGTGAAAGTGGAATCAGTAATGATAGATAATGATTTCTTGTGACGACTTACTCTCAGGTCTTGTTTGGCTGTTGCCTTCAGTTTGATCATCGCTCAGAATCTGCCCGGCGGATTCGAGTCGATACATGAGGGATTTCAACAGGTTCAATGGCCGCTTGAGGCTATAACTGCAGCCCTTCTGATATTCCCATAGAGCAGTCCAGAAGAAACGAATGCAGTCGAGGTGCTCACTGGTATTGGACATTTGCAACAATACAAGAACAGCACAGTAAGTGGCATAGGAGATGCCATACTGAGCACGTCTGAGAGTAAACGTGTCCCGATAGGCTTCCACAAGCTTCCATATTTTGAGTGAAGCTTCAATGCACCTTTGTTTTGACTCGGCTTGTATAGTGTGGTCCAACTCGATGTTGAACTGCCTGCCACTCAAAAATGCTTGCTCGGTCAAAATAACCATCGTCCAAAAGGTCGTGCTGCTCAAAACTCAGCTAGTTGTATATCAAGACGTTATAACAGAACTTACTGTGGTGTGATTTGGTGAGGGGGCGGCGTTGGATCTATTCCCGGTTCAAATTTTAGCCATTCAGGCAAAGTCCCTTTCCAGTCGTCAAGCTGATGATTGACTTCTTTTCTAATCTGTAGTAGCTTGTGTTGAGGAGTTGAAGCGCTCTGTGCCGAGTAGAAAGCATCGATTATTTTGGTCGTTATCTTGCAAAGGCGAAGTAGGGACTGAAATGTGCTTGTGGCATAAGTCGGTCGCCCATTGTACCGGAGACTTACATGTCCTGGAAGTGGTACCATTGGATCAATGTAGGGATTCCATTCTTCCACCTCCTCGAATATATCGAGGAACTCATGTGGGGTATTTCCGTCGTATTCGTGGAGGGCTGGAGCACGGCCGAGAAAGATGGATTGAAATTTGTCGGTCACAAATGCTCCCCAGTAGAGACGTCGTCTCATCTCCTGCTCGACAGCTAATTTTCGAGGATTTGACTGTGTGCCTGAAGTCGGTACAATATCCAAATGGCATCCGATATCCACCAGCATCCTGTAGGCCATGCCGCAAAGCGTCCAAGCAGCACTTTGCAGGCCAAAAGGGACCAGACATGAACCGCAAGTCAACAGAGCCGCAATAGTTGGGATGGTGGGTTCATCAATGTAAGATGACAGCAGCACCTTGAAGCGCTCATAGAACGCCATTCCTTTGCGTTCCACGTCGCTTCCGAAGAGAACATGCTCTCGGTCGCTATACATGCTGCTCTGCAGATATATTGCGTTGAGCAGAAGCTTGTTCACATAGGGGCCGTTCTTTATCAAGCTGTCCATAACTGCAGGACGGTACGTTATGAGATATGATAAATGCTGTCGATTCCAATGCAAATCCAGGAGGTGCATGGCCGTATCCATTGGAACACCATCAAAGTCCATGGCTGCTTTCATGCTTGGCGTATATTTCATGGTGAGTTCATCGTGCCTGCCCAGGGCGGCATTGGAAATGAGCTGGTCACGCATACAAGCTTTTGTAGGGTTGTGATTGTCGTGTTCACTAGACCCACGGTTGGCTAGAGGGGTCGTGGATGATTGGTCGTGAAGCAAACTTGTTGCACCGAAAACTTGGGGCCCAGATGCTATCACATTGGCTTCAGATGGTGACGCCGTGTCATAATCTTGCGACTGCGCGTCAACTACCTGAGGCTGCCCATCATGAGTGCGCTGTGATTCGGAAGCAGGACCATGTGCGACAGCTCCCAATCGTCCAACATCAGCAGTTCTGGACAGAATGTCGTCTACAGGGCCATTGCCTTCAACATGCCTCAAACCATGGTTCAAGATTGATCCTGTAGAAGACAATTGGCCTGATGGTGGGCGCTCTCTCCCTCTCAGCTCTTGTATTTCCTTTTGCAAAGCCTGGAGATCTGCCCTCTTCGGCCTCGTCGATGTGCGTCTTCCGTCTTCGGAATAAACGCAATTCAAGCCTTTGGCGCTGCAATAACTACATTTGGGGTGCTGGCCGTCACATCTCACCTAAAGAAGTTTGTTAGTATTAGTGCGCCTTGAAATTTCTCGCACTCGTAGCGAGACCTAGCCATGGGCGGGTCCTAGGCCTGCACCTTTTTACGCCGACATGTTCCGCATGTGCGGCATTTTGAATCGGCCCTCATTCGCTCTCGGGGGTTCCGCCGTTTCGGGTGTGCTTCTCCCACCATATTCGGAGTTTTGGGAAGGAAAGCAAAGTTCGGAGATGTAGTTCTGCGCAACTGACTTTAGTTCAGGACGGACCCAGTACACCTCGGTAGTGCATCCCCGAACCCCACAATATGCTCCAGCGATCCCCGGATTTTAGAATGCCGACAGAGTCAAGTCAAAGGGTCAAATCCAGGTCTTATGGCTTGACATGAATGGCATATCTCAATTGCTAGGAATTAAGGCCTGATATCACAAGTGCACTCATATAATGAGCATTCAATCTAGTGGGGATTTCATGTTGGTATCTAGTTATGGTAGCAGCACCCTTGCAGTCCGCTTGGAAAGATGACATTTGAGCCTAAATGCGATGGGCCAGGCCTTTGTGCCAAAATCCAGAAAATAAAATTGCGCGACTTGGATTTCGCTGCTGTAGGATTCTTTTTGCTGCGCTTCTTTTTCCCGCTGTCGGGCACCCGCTCTTCGGAGATGCATCTCCATCCCTTCATACAAGTCCGTGGATCACGGTATCACCATTCCCGGTCATTTGCTTAGCGCGTTGCGGAACAGCTTTCTATCTAAAGCCTAGGTGACTATATCTTTTTTGACATATATCAATGGATAGACTTTTGCTGACGACAAACCCAAGGTGCGAGAACATGACGAGAGTTCTGAGATGGTATCGACACTACCACGCCTCCTCCACCAGCACACCTAGCGGCCTGTTACAATGGACTTTGAGATTGAGCAGCACACATTCGAGTCCCCGACCCAGCGAAGGATCGCAGCTACCGACTGGAATGGTCCCGATGATCCAGACAACCCACGGAATTTTCCCTTCCGGACGCGATGCGTCTGCATCAGTATCCTGACCCTATTAGCGTTTATAAGCGCGTTTGCAGGCGCCATTTATGCGCCGGCCGTGGACGAGATAATGACCATCTTCAATTGCAGCTACGAGGTGGCTGTACTGCCTCTAACTTTGTACAACCTAGGCTTGTCTTTTGGTCCCATCGTAGGAGCACCCCTCTCGGAACAGTACGGCAGAAGAGCAGTCTTTGTGTTTACTACGCCAATCTTCATTCTTTTCATGGTCGGTGCCAGTTTCTCTCGAACCCTACAAGCCTTGATCGTCTGTCGATTCTTCGCAGGCATGTTTGCCTCGCCAAACATCAACAATGCATCCGCAACCATTCTAGACTACACCGCGGAGCGATATCGAGGGACGGTTCTGGGGATTTACTACTCTATACCATCGGAAGCAGCCAACTTGGCACCGCTCATTGGCGGATTCGTCGTTCGAGCAACAAACTGGCGCTGGACACAGTGGGTGGCAATCGTGGTGGCAATTACAATCTACGTACCGACGCTTTTCACCCCAGAGACCTATAAGCGCAAGATCCTCGAACGGCGTGCAAGAAAACAGGGTCTAGAGGATGCATTCTCTCGCAGATCATCACCCGGCAAAGCTATCCGATATTTCTTCCTCGTCCTCATTCAACGACCACTACACATGCTTTTCACAGAGCCCATAGTACTTTTCGTCAGCCTGTACAATGGGCTCATCTTTGGACTCATCTACGCTTTCGTTACTTCTGTGCCGTGGATCTTTGAGACCTACTACGGCTTTGACGGCCCAGCCCAGTCACTGTCTTATCTTGGTCTGTCTATTGGTACTGGGATTGCGTGTCTTCCTTTTGCACTCATCGACATATACTATTATCAGCGTCGGATAGACTCGTATCGGCTTCACCACGGTGCGAGCAGCAGATTACCCCCAAAACATCGACTGGTGTCGTCGCTCATAGGCAGCGCTCTGATTCCCATTGGACTATTTGTCTCGGGCTGGGCTGCAGAAAGGCGGGTTCACTGGATGGTCACAATCACTTTTCAAGGTGTAACAATGACGGGGTCGCTGTTGGTCTATGCTGGCGCGAGCTTGTTCATGCTGGACTCATATGGTCCTCTCTACGGCGCGTCTGCCTCGAGTTCAACCATGCTGAGTCGATACAGCCTAAGCACAGCATTTCCCATGTTTGCACTACAGATGTTTCAGGTGTTGGGGGCTGGATGGGGAACATCGTTGCTTGCATTTTTGTCATTGCTCATGGCTCCTATACCATGGTGCTTTTGGATATGGGGTGAGAGCTTGAGACGAAGAAGCAAGTACGAGATTAGTCAGTAATCAAGTCGTTCATTTTAGTTCATGTACACCTCCAAAACGACCTCAAATAATGGGTTACGCATATCGAATGTTTTCAACCATGAAACCATTATATATTCTTTCTGTACTTATACACATACTTACAATTGCCACAACATTCAATGAAATTCTAGCGGACGAAATCCTGCAACTTCAGCGCCAGAAAGTTTGATATCATAACTCTAGACGAGAAAGTTGGTGCCGTAACTTCACGACGTATCAAAGAAGTGTTGCGATTAACGATCAAGCTATCGCAATGGGCGTGGTCGGGTCTAGATGGGAGGAGCAAGAGAACAACGTAATGATGCTTCCTAGCTACCTTTAGCCTTTGCAACATCTCAAGTCCGCTACAATGATTCATAAATGCAGAAAAGCTCTTGCGTTTCCACATTATTTTGCAATCACCGATTGTATACTTTTCAGGTACTAAGAGGACTCAGACATGAGCCGATGTGTGAAGGGGGGATTGAAGACGAGATGATCGAGGAAGCATTGCAAGATGTCTGAGTTAATCTCTAGTCTACAAAAGAGAGGTGCTGAAGAGCGACTGTATACCCACGCAAGTGATCTGCGGTGGGTACTGACTACGTCAGTACGACATTCACGATATCACTCTACACTACTAAGGTAGCCTGAGCTTGCTGTGGGGCTACCACTTTGTTCTGATGGCGAAGGCAGTAAACTACGCAGAAACAAAATGTGCGATTCCACAAGGCAGTGAGCCCCCAACCCATAACAATCCTCACATACAAAAAAGTGGCTTCCCTCGCAGACGTTACATTCATACCATGAATCATTTAAATGAGCCATGCAGACATAACAATGTTCTCCGATATTGAAATCAGTGGCAAATCTTGTAGGCTCTCCAATTGCGAGTGGAATTTGAGATTTCACCGTTTCCTCGTTCGTAGGCAAGTGACGATGCTGAACGATAGCACTTGATATGTCGTCATGCCCTTGTTTTCGGGCCCACCAGAGAGGTGTCCGACCAAAGTCATCTGCCACGTGCAGGTCAACACTGGACGAAACTGCGAGTTTTCGAAAGATTGCCGAACGTCCGTATCGAGCAGCAAAAGATATTGCCGTTGCGCCCCAATGGTCTCTTGTGCTTATATCGAAGCCAGACACGTCGAGTAGAAAATCCACTACTCTGCAATGATTGAGGATAATTGCCCACGTGAGAAGCGATCGACCATAATCATCTGTAGCTAGATAGTTTGCACCAGCACCAAGGAGTAACTCAAGAATCTCCAAATATTGGCCCTCGACGACATCGAACAGCATACGCGCTCCATTCTTATCGTTAACCGCAGCACCGTGTTTTAAAAGGATGCGTACCACGGCTTCATGACCTTGTGCAGCTGCCAATGCTAGTGGTGTTCTGTCTGAAGCTGAAGCAATCATCGCATCGACGTTTGCACCCTTGTCAAGAAGTGAGCATACTATTTCTTTGTGCCCGTGAAACGCAGCTGATCCCAGTGGAGTAAACTCATCTGAAGGGTTGACGTCCGCTCCTTTCTCCAGCAGAATGTCGACGACATCCTTGTGACCTTCAGCAGAGGCGGCCTCAAGCGCAGTGCCGTAGCCCCTGCTCTCCGTGTTGACGTCCGCATATTTATCCAGCAAGATGCTGACGATATCCTTGTGACCTTTAGCAGAGGCAGCCTCAAGCGCAGTGCCGTACTTGCCACCCGGCGCGTTCACGTCCGCACCTTGGTCCAATAGCATTTTCGAACAGCGTGGTAGTCCTACGAGTGACGCAAAGTATAGGGAAGGTGCCAGGATGGGCCGACCGTACTCCAAGATTCTATTCTCGTCCGAGTCGCTGAGTAGCAACCACATTTTTATTCGAGAACGGTCAAGAAATAGCTCTGCTGCGAGCTCAAATGTTTGCTGGCTATGATATTCGACAACATGGGCATGGCTTGCCCAGTATCTCGCCGAATACTCTGCAAAGTGGAATGTGTTCGTGATCACTTCGACCATCTGAGGCTCAAGTTCCAAAAGATATGCTAAGCAGACATCTGCTATAGAGCTTCGGGCAGATATTTCCTGGAAGTATCGAGCAAATTTGCTTTCTAGCCGGTCTGAAGTAAGATAGTCCTTGACTGAGAAATGTGCTAGTTGGATCTCTTGAACAATCAAATTACGGTGTTTTCTCTCAACAATAACGGCAAGGCTAGAACAATATCCCACGATATTATTCGGATCCGGCATTCTGTCACCAAGACTGAAGCGGGAACCCTGCCCCACATTAGGGCCGACCTGAACCGCGATCGCGTCCACAGCTTCATCGATTCGCAACGGACGTTCCGAGTATGTAAGAAATTGCAAGATTCGCAGGGTCTGATCGATATGTTCCAACGGAACATTGCCAAGTATCCGTGAATATGTGTCGTCCAGATCCTTCGGAAGCGACGCAAGTGCTTTTCGAAGTGCTATAGGGTCACGGCATCTTTTCAAAGCACCGATTTGGCACCAGACCCAACGGAACCTGGGCATATTAGCATGGATAATCAACGGCGAGTGTGTTGGCTCTTACATCCCATGGGACTTACTGACGAGACTGATCTCAATCTCTTCTTGGATGTTGGGCAGTGACCTCCAGACACGGAAATCTTCGTGCTCTTTGATGATTGCGTGTACGTAATTTTGGATATCTGCCTTCAGAAGATCCTCGTGAATTGCGATTTTCTCCTTTTCACTGCGACATATTTGCTTCATAGATGTCTGGATATCCTGTTCAGGTCGGCTCGTTGCAACGACATGGAGGTTCATCTCGTCGCTTCGAAGATCTCCCAGCCAGAGAAGCAAGTCGTCTCGGACTTTGCATTCATCAAGTGCATCGAGAACAAGCCATGTCTCGCCACTTTTGACTATCTTAGCGAAAGTCTCTTGAATGGAACTCTTGCTAGGCTGTTCTCTGCCGTTTTTACAAGATGCGTACAAAGCATCCACTTCTTTCCGAGATCGCACGTTGATGTGATACAATTGGTCCAGGAGAGAACGCACACAGTTCTCGAATGTTTGCTTCCGGGTATCGGTAAAGTCGAAGTAGAAATAGAAAAGCGCTTGCGAGTGATTAGCGCTTGCAAGAAGATCGTCGATTACGGTGGAGGTGAGGATTGTTTTGCCGCATCCTGGAATCCCAAACAACCAAAGGAAAGAGTTTGGTCGAATTTTCCATTCTTGGTAGGCTTCTTCATCGATCAAACGTTGCCCCGAACCTGGGTGGCGAGCCTCGCGGGCTTTGTTGAGGTTACCTGAGACCTCAGGCGCAGCAAGCCATTTGGTCACATTTTCGAAATGCTTTTCTTCTTGGGCAGTACGTAAGCTCGATTTGGCGACATCAACTGCAATGGACATTTCGTGGATTTCTTCTTTTACTAAACAGGTCTCAGTCTATAGATACGACCTATCCGGACATGACTGAACAGCGGGTCAGGGCGGGATTAAGGGCATGACGAACCATCGGAAAGAAAATCGGTCAATTTTCTCTTGGCCTCCACCTTGTTAGGCGCGATTTTACGGAGGAGGTCTTTTGCGTAGGCAGCTGCTGCCATGGCTGCATAACCTTGCCAATCCTTGTTCTTGTGCGTATCGGAATAATCGCAAATACCGCGGATCACTACACAAGGGAACTGATTCATGAGCCCGGCAGCCTCCATCTCGAAACACAAGATATCGTGTTCAGCCGAAAGCTTATCACGCAGGTTGGCGTCCCTCATGAGTTGGTTTGCTGAAGCAATGATTCCATAATGGACTGTCGGGTTGTCCCGGTCCTCTGATCGCTCCGGACTGCGAGCGAGCTCTGAAGCATCGCACAAGGTTGTGCACTCTTGTTCTTTTACTCCAGCGTGCTTATAGCCAGTATTATAGAGCCTATCTGTGCTGGGATCTGGCTTTTTGAAATCTGCTTGCAGCCTTGTATTGCTTGCAAGAACATCCTTGATGGCTTTTTCAATATCGTTACCTCGGCGTCTGTACTGGGCTTTGAGAGTATTTAAAGCAGCCAACATGAACTGTGGTGGTTGATTAAGATGGCCAGTAACGATGAACCTCGAATCTTGAATAGCTCTGCCGTAGTCATACTGGAACACGCCGCCGCTGCTGGAGCCGGAGCTGGGGCAACTGACTACAATGTCACCCAAACGAATATCGTGCTTCAAACATGATCCTCCGCCACCGATGCCGACCATTAGTCCAATTCTCACGTTAGGGAAACTTCGAACCATATCACGGGCGACAGTTGCGGCTGTAACCAGGCCGTATTGCCCATTGGGCAACGCAGCCATAACAACGTTATGCTTGTCGATTCGACCAAGAACGTATGCATTGTTATCGTTTACTGGCAAATAGTCGGGGTCGTCATGTTCCTCGTCTAGGAACGAGGCTGCTGCGACAAGCTCAGTTTCCAGCGCGCATATCCAGCCGACTGTGTAGCTTTTGGGATCTGACATGCTGGCTGTCTAGCAGTGATTTCGAGCAAGCTCAAGCATTCCCGTGGAGATTAAGTATGTTCGTGTTCGAAAGAGACTAATGCGCTGGGACGATGCGTTCGCAAAGTTGTGGCGGGTAAGACGAAGAAGAGTAAGTAGCATGCCTTGACGCCCGAGGCGCTTTGGAGCCTCGTCGGGCTGACTGGGCGGGTAGGCCCGGGATCTGGAAAACATACCCCGACATATTGGTGGCGTGGGTCCAAAAGGGCCTTGCAGCCTGTACTGTAAGAGACGTCGTGCTGAGCCACAATGTCGACGAACCAGATGGCGAGGATTAGTCTGCAAGTCTTCGTTTCACAACATTACTGCCAACGAGTAATCCCAGATAAGACGTAAGTCATGATTTAGTCCGCTATTCCCTTATCGCATAAATTAAGTCGAACTTAGCTTTTTGATATAATAGCCTGAAGCAACTTTAGTTGTAAAGGAAATATTAGTGAAAAGAGAGGGGATTGTATTACCTGTTTGACTAGACCATATGGGGTTGATATTCAGAAGCCCTGCCATTAGCGCTTGAATACCTCCTAGCATTCTGTGAAAAGGTACGATGTGGCGTAATTATTGTTGTATCAGTTGAATTGTGGTTCACATCCAACAGAAGTCGGATGGCCAAGGATGAATACATGTGTGGAGAAGCACTCCAATTATTCTTACACTTTGGCACGTTCAGCTGCACCCTCGCCCAACCCAAAATGAGCAGCGGCACAATTGCACTACGATTAGGTAACTAAACGTTGAAGGAGATTACCGATTCTGTACGATTTATAACAGTGTGGATTTATGGTCGTTCTGCGAGCGTTGTCTGCTAATAATGCTTGTAAGTTTCCCCACAATTGTTACTGTGTACACTGTATCCCACCCAACAACGTGCACTTTTAGTGTGGTCAGTATATGCACCTGAATGATGATGAGTGCGAGGCGGTTATGTTTAGGTTTTATGAATTTGAAACTTGGGCTCGAGTGGGACATACGCTTGCCCGGTTATATTCTTCTCAGATTACCATAAGTCCGTATCACAGACAATCAACAAGAACAGAGTTAACCTTTCTACGGTTAACGATCAAGCATTCGTGGTTGCCATTTAAGCTTAAAGATCATAGTTTGACGCGCTGACCAAGCCATTACTAAAGGCTCAGCGCCGTTTCAGTAGGACTAGCACCAGTCTAGCCATCATAAAGAAACGTAAAAAGTGACAGCGAAGTCTTACTTGAACCATACCTACCTAGGAACTTGTATTCCATCTGTGGCCTGGGTGAGCTTTCATATGGTTTACATGAAAAGAGCAGCGCAAACGACGATGCAAAGAATATAGCCATGATTCTCCTTTGAGCATTGAAGCACGGACCACTAGCAACCAACATGAAAAACGCACAAAACAGTATTTCTACACCGACTCGCATACCACCCAACGACCGTCCGACAAAATCAGAGTATATGGAATGGTCAAATCAGGTCGGGAAAAGATGATTGGAACCAGGTCCGGGACATCGGAGCAGGCGAGGCAGTGTCACAGCATACTTTCATGTCACCCGCAAACGGCAAAAATAGATGTTGTCTATGACTGACAGGTAAGCAAGAATACCATTCAGAGACTACAAAAAGTTATACTAAGAAAAACAGTCAAAAGACATGTTAGTCTCCTCGGACTTTGACAATTAAAGACAGATCTGAGCAGCAAATGGCGAAGGAAACCGGCTGGATTTCTGTGAATATCACGAATGCCCAATCTTATCGCCGAGCAGATGCTCGGGCCCGGAGGCAGATGTCGGGGTAAATTGAAATAAGAAATTTGCCTACCACAAGGACGGCGCAAAGCACATAAGAGACAGTCAAAGTATCGACATGATCATGAAATCTTCTGGGAAAAGTTTTCAACCGTTACGCACCACACTGCCATGATGCCTCTGAAGAGATCACGAGCACGTGGGTAATTCGAGTGGCTCAACCAAAGATTGTAGCGAATCGCGTAATATGCATTTGAAACATCGAGTCCAAGGACATCATCCAAATCTGGGTTCCTGGAAGTAATTTCCCACAGATGACAAGGCCGGCAGAAAAAGTAGGGCCGAGCCGCCGCCGGCCAGGGCGAAGTTTTCGTAAGCGAGGACTGTGATTGCTCAATCATTCGAGGACGTAATCGAGTATAATCTGCGGCTGATGATCAATGGATCTGCATTGATTGGTCTCGAACGGCGGGATCTAGACCTACTCTAATGCACCCCGGAGAGGCTTACGACTACTCCTGCGGTCCCTGACCCGGTCAACCAACGCAGAGCCTCTTGGCGTTTGTGCTAAAGCTGGGAAACGGAATGGTTCCCCCAGCCGTAGAATTAGACTTAACTATAGAGCCACCGGCATTGTGAAACGTTATGACTAGCACAATTTTGACGGATCAATGCTGATCTCGTTGGATTTGGGCAAACACCATGGAGCTTGAGCCGCGTAGTCCCCAGTCTCGTTAATATGGATGCGTAAGTGCCAAGAACAGGAGCAGAGACAGAGCACGCAGAAAGCGAGATTTCGAGGATGAAGGTTGGCCAAGTCGACGAGGACGAACGCGCGTCGCGACCAGAGCCATGTTCTCGACAGAGCCCCTTTCACGCGAATAGAGTGTTGGCCGTGAAGACATCGTCAACCGCATCCCAAAGCGTGTCGCAGGCAAAGCAAAAGATGAGTATATAATGTTTGTCCGTTGCCATGATCTCATTATGATTTCTGGCTCTCGAACCACACAACAGCACACCTCTTCACTCTCTTTCAACCCGTTGTGAACTTCAATCTTCATCACCATGCGTTTCGCCGCCATTGCCACCGCCGCCGCCGGCCTTAGCGGTCTCGCCGTTGCCCATCCCGGAGGCCACGATGCCATGACCAGGGCGGAACTCACAGTCAAGCGCTCCATGTACGAGCAAGCCAAGCGCGGGTTGTCTGCGTGCTCCTCCAAGCTGGACGCCAGCGGCCTCGAGCGCCGTGCCGCCGAGCGCCGAGCTAACGCCGTCGCCGAGCTCCGAGCCAAGCGAAAGATCAAGCGAGATGAAGCCACCGTCTTGGCCACCGACCACAACCGCACCGCCGACGGTATCACTGAGGATACTCCCGTGTCGGAGCTCTTTGCCAGCAACGGCACTTGTGTCATTAACCCCGTCTCTGAGTTTGGACCATTTTGGGTCAAGGGCGAATATGTCCGCACTGAACTCGTCGAGGACCAGGCCGGTGTTCCGGTTCTTATTGATGGACAATTCCTGAACGCCGAGACCTGCGAGCCTATCGAAGGCTTGTACTGGGACATCTGGTAAGTCATCAAACGCTTGAGTACCCATGTTCATATAACTAATCAAACAATAAAAGGAACTGCAACTCTACTGGTGTCTACTCTGGTGTCGTTGCCTCCAACAATGGCGCCGGTACCGCTGACCCCGGCAACATCAACAGCACCTGGCTGCGAGGTATCCAGCAGACCGACAGCGACGGTGTCGCCCAGTTCAGCACCCTCTTCCCCGGACACTACTCGGGTCGCGCCACCCACACGCACGTCATTGCCCACATCAACGCCACCCAGCTGGAGAACGGCACCGTGACGGGCGGCAACGACGCCTTTGTCGGCCACCTGTTCTGGGACCAGCAGCTCATCTACGACATTGAGGCTCTCTCCCCTTACAATGAAAACACCATTGAGATCACCACCAACGCGGACGACTCCATCTTCCCCAACGAGGCCGCCACCATTGACCCCGTCTTCAACTACATTCAGCTCGGCGACGACCTCGAGGATGGTCTCTTTGCCTGGATCACCATTGCCATCAATGTGACGGCCAGCTACAGCGAGAGCTACAGCTTTGAGCTGACCGAGGGAGGCGGTGTGGCCGTTGAGGCTGGCAGCGACATTGGTGGAGGTGCTGGCTCTGGTGGCCCGGGTGCCGCTCCTACTGGCATGTAGAATCATTGGTAACCATGGAGAACTAGACCTTGCATTACTTTCTTTCACAGTCGGCGGACGAATTATACAATTTCTTCTTGATCAAATGTCTCCTCGTTCTAGCAATATTGCCGAGCTCTAGCTTGATAAGACTACTTGAAACATTTTTTAAAGTAGACCATAACTGGATTATTGTTGATCAAGGTGGTGCTTTCCTGCTGGAGTTCAAACTCTAATATGGGTGTCAATTTGTGTGATGTATTGATCTATGTTCTGCGCCCTTTAGCTTGAACGACGTGTACGCTTATTTGGCTGGCCCCGGCGAATCCCTGTGAGGTCCCGTACATCTATCTGAACACCATGGTGTTGATCAGTGTGCTCAAGCACACCCCAGTGTATGGGAACTATGATCGACTATCGGACAATTATGATAATCCTTTCCTAACCCTCACTGTCACGGAAAATAAGGGGCGAACTAGGTCATCTGTCAAGCAGTGGTCGTGGCGGTTGCGTGCGGACCGATGAAGACTAATTGCGCTGCAATGATCTACCCGGCGAATATCATGTCCGCCACCATTCGCCACCATTTTGGAACTTGACTGACAACACCAGCGATGTAACCGAGTATAATAATCGAGTTTAACAGACCCCACATTATCTTGAATGTTGTGTTGTTGCCTTCGAACATACCGTCATCTGGTTCTGAAAACCACATGTGCGCAAACAATACTGCTATGATATTCACAATCCATGAACAGATTATGAGGTGTCCGGCGGCATGGCCTAAGTGGTGTAGTTTGATTGGTCCTATTATCCGCTGCAAGAGATTGGTTCGCGTCTTGATGAGATAATACTCCACAAACATGTCGATCGGCAACAACAAGGGATATACTAGAGCAAAAACGCACGCGCTTTTGAAACAGAAACTTTGGTTAGAACATATCTGAAAGATATCTCTAATTCGAATATGACTTACATTCCGCAGTGGGGCTTATCACTTTGACTCGCATAAGTGTAGTAATATCGAGTCACTTGGAAAGCTAAGTGTGCAGCACAGATAAAGAGCATGAAGTAAGAACCGTCCTGATCCTGTTCTTTGTAGGGGTTAATTTTCGTATGCCAAAATAACATAGCTGGATGAAAGTTTGCATTGCTGATTGGATGCGGAGAGCCTTGGCTTCCTCTCAAAGAGGCAGCCGTCTACGCAGTGCTGATTAGCCATGAGCTCGCTCGCCTGTTCAGCTATTATCGTTACCATGACTCACCCTATATGGTCGTGTTGCCGTATCTATACCATTGTACATCTCTGCATTCATGGCTTGACGTCGCAGTTTGTAGAGCCTGCTGCAATTGCCCTCGGGAAGTGACATGGTAAGCTCGCTGGTGATGCCTGCTCCATCTGCCTTCGCTACTGTTGATCTTGGCTCGTAAAATCGTAGTTTTATGCAGTAAGCATATAGATAAGCGAAAGTTGATGCGAGGAACATGATGAGTGCCAAAACAATGATAATTGCCGCGAACCGTCTTAGGCCGTTGGAGGATGCAGCATATATCATGAATGAACAGTCTGGCAAATCTATAGTGTAGTCGCCGTTGCAATCATCCACTAATATCAGACTTGGACTAGGATCCCGAGGCATTGAGCCGAGGCAGGGATCCCCGCAACGTTTGTAGGTCGGGTAAGCGCTAACGTGTAGCACTCCTTGAGAGAGAACAATATTGACGACAAGATCGACGGCCGAAAGTATCGGAGCGGCCCATTTAGTCGCAATACTGGGTTGCCTATTGAACACAAGTTCACAGCATGACAAGTACCAGTCGAACCCTAAGATGATACTGCATACACCGAGAACCGGAGTGCTGTACTGAAGATAATTGAGATGATCGATGGGAGGAGGCTGAAAGGGTACGCCACCGTTCTTCAATTGAGTCGCACTCCCCGCGATCGTCATAGGGATTATAGGCAGCCGAGCTATGCTTATCAGAACAAGTAATCCCAAAATACAGATCTGTATATCTTGATGGCTGGTTGGCCGCATTTTATCTGCCTTAGAGAATATTGTGAAAATGTAAGATAAGTGGTATAATAATTATTGTTTTAGTTGAGTTGTTCATATCTAACAAAGGTTGGATGGTCAAAGAGACATATGGTCAAAGAGACATATATGAGTGGAGAAATGCCCCACTTTATTCCAACACTTTGACAAATACGTGTCTGACCGTGGTCTAGGTCTACACTAGGCAAAGATCAATTTTCAGGAAGAGATAATCTCGAGACTTCTTATTGCTATGGAGAGAGAGCAGGCCTGTCCAATATTCTCTCAGCAAGTCCCCACGGGGTACTTTTGACATTTCCGCCCTTGCCGTACGCCCTTCTTTTCTGACCTCCAGTCTATGCGATTGCATTATTATTGCACTTTCGTGCAGCTTCTTGGCAAGATGACCAATAGAACAGGAACACGTTCGACTGTGCCTCGGAATTTGGGGTGTCCCACAACGGCCATGGTTGGTCATTACGTCGGAGGATCGGGTCGATATTACCCCCAGCCTCGCTCAACCCGCTGATCAGACCCTTAAGAGAGTGTGTGTACAACGCGAAATGCAACATTTGCCACCTTCGTCAGCAGGCTCTGAGACTGTGTTTTGCGGTTGAGCGCGTGTCAGAAGACCATCTAATAGGCAGCCACGACCTCTTGTAAATTATTCTAAAACCGGTCAACTTTGCCATTCTTCGACCATATCTAGTGGATAAATATGTACCTAGAGGAAAAGCTTGTCTCGAGGGCGATACAAAGTCATTCTCTGTGTCTTTGGACGAAGATTGCAGTATTTCGATATGAGCAGCCCTATAGCCGATTCAAGCGTTCCCAGTGAGCTTGAGCGAGAAGAGTGGGTAACCGATAGCCTTTGCAGCAACTGTGAGGGCTTCGATTTGCATTCCTTCAGTCGCGACCCAAGGGGGTTGCGTGGGTACAGCCTGATCGATACGAAAGAGGGCGCGAGATCAGGCTGCTCATTTTGCTCCCTTCTCTTGAGAACCTTCCGACGCTTACTGAAATCGAATGATGATTGGAGCCGAGTTAATCTCAAAAACTATTGGTTTCATATCAGCATACTCAAAGAACAAAACTGGTTGGCTAGCGAGTCTGGAGGTGAAGGGCTTGGTATCGATTGCTTCGACGTCACGCTTGGTGGGGTCAATTACCGTTCTCCGTTAGCGAGACATCGCGAAATCGAGACTTCGGAAAAGTTCCACGTAGTCGCTGATCCGAGTGAGTGTTATTTGAGAAGAGAACATCTTGGCTGATTGCCCCAACCTTAGCTAACTGTTACACGAGACGACCCAGCTTATAGAAGTGGGGACATATGCAGAACATATACAGCAGAAGATACTGGATCGAATGATTATTTACACGAGATCAAACGACGCATGGACATCTGCCTCACACACACAACATGTTGTGAGACCTTATCAGGACACCGGGGTATCAACAGTCGGCAGGTTCCACTACCACGTCGATGCATCGACGTCCAGGGTCAAGGATTACAGATCGCAGAGACAGAGTCGTTGACATCATCCTATGTGATATTGTCACATCGCTGGACACCGCAGGCGGAGGCTTGTGCCACTACAACAGAGAATATCGAGCTCAGACGCCAGGGTGATGAAAATGCACTATTGTCGTTACCGAAAACATTTTGCGATGTGTTTAATGTTGCCCGAGGACTAGGCATTCGGTACGTTTGGATTGATTCATTGTGTATTATTCAACGTGGGGATGGAGGTGAAGACTGGAGTCAAGAGGCCCCAAAGATGGGAGATTATTATCAGCAGGCCATCTTGACTATTTGTGCTACATCAGGTTCCAGTGACCAGGGACTCTTTCCGGTGCTGACTGGCCATGTACCGGATATTGCTCGACTTCGTTACCGGGACAAGAAGGGCATACCTCAAGGATTCTTCTACGTATATCCATACGGAGATCCAAGGTCGAATCGGCAAACCGAAGAGGAAGCTATTCGGGCCAGTGAGCTCTTCACTAGAGGATGGGTTTTCCAGGAGTGGATCCTGAGTCGTCGCCGAGTCTACTTTACTCCCGCAGGTATGATTTACGATTGCGAAACGACCGGCCTAAGCAATAATCATCGCGAAGTGTGGGGCTCTAAAAAGAATTATGGAGGGCGTATCTTTGAACGGTATTTCTCCGGACACCGCATTGCGATTGACTGGTGGTATTGGCTACTTGAGTTATACACAGAAAAGTCATTGACTCAGCCAGAAAAGGATCGCATTGTAGCTCTCAAAGGAATCGCCGAGGAGTTCAGAGAGCTGCTCAAGCGCATACCATCGGACAGTAGTGTGCTGAGAACGATAGTCCCCACAGTCGCATGCGGCCTGGAGTACCTTTCCGGACTCTGGGCCTACGATCTCCATCGTGGCCTTCTCTGGCAACGCGTGTCGTTCGCTGGCCGGCATCAAAGGCTTCCATTGTATCCTTCTTGGTCTTGGACAGCTGTTGTTGGCCCTGTCGAATGGCCCAGTAACCCAGCTGAGAAACGCGTGGGAGGGTTTCGCGCGAGGTTATCTTCCACCTCATCTGAATCAACACTGGCCCTTCATCCCCAAGCAAAGCTACTTGTTGCGAGGGTAGGGAACGGGGCGTCCCTCATCCCAAATGACGATCTAGGGACCGCTGATCGCTTTCAAACCGTCCCCATAGATGCATTCGGCACTCTGAATAAGTCTGCGACGCTGCAATTAGCAGGGAAGTTGGTCAGAGTACTAATTCGGGAAGAGTTCTCTGGGGAAAGGGATCATGAGATTCTCTCGAATATATGCGGAGAGATCGCAGATACCCAGTCAGCACGAACATTTTGGAGGAAGGTGTGCACAACATCAGTTCATACGGAAGTCATCGGCTGGGCATCGATAGATGACCCGAGCTTCCAGGAGGATTCGATGTATGGAAGTGGGCTGGAGAGCAAAGCGCTAGTCATAGCGACGAGTGAGCACAAACGTGGGTACGGGTTAGGGTTCTACGGTCTCAACCGTAATGGCAATTACACAGTTTATCATGTTCTTTTCGTACGGGAAATACCGGAAGAGCGTTTTGAAAGAATAGGCGTTGGACAGATATTTGGGAAAGAGGTGGAGGAAGTCATTCGTAAAGCAGGATCTACGGAGGTCAACCTAGTATAAAACTGTCGAACTCAAGAGACACATTCAGCATGGACCGAGAGGAATAAGAAACAGCCTTGAGTAACTCCGAATCGTATGCCAATATTTACACAGAATGCCAACAAGTGATACAGGGTTTTGACTAACGCTGCTGAGCATGAATAACTCTATAGACGCCCATGATTATCCCGATGCTGCTTGTAGGAACAGTTGTACTAGACATTATTCTTTGCTACTCAGCGCTCACAGGGGTATTGTCAATTGCCAATTCATTGACGTAATCCTGACAAATTGAAAAGTCGGTCATGGCAAGGCTGCTTTCGCGGAGCACAGCTAGAACATATCACCGTGCAAGCCGTCTGCAGCTAGGTCTAGATAATGGCGATACATACATAGTAACCTAACCAAAGGCTGGCACAGTCATCACCGACTATAGGATTCCAATCATGGAAATCTCACAGTTCGATGCTGGCATAGTAGTTTGATTACTACTGCTAAAAAATCGATTATTAGCTTCCAAGGGTCCCTTTTTAGTGGGCCATTGTCGAGCACGACCCGAAAACAGGTGTATTTGATCAGCAACTCCGAGTGCATGTCTTCCGCGATCTGAGGATTGCCGTCACGAGCTTCTTCCCCAAGATTCCCTGCTGTCACACCATAGCGCCTGTCTTGGTTGTTTCAAAGAGATGCGCCAATATCGCGAAGGTGGCATGGAAAGATAAGAAGTCGTAGTAGAAAATTGTCAAAGCTTTCTTGTCCTATTTTTAATGCACAGAAGGGTCTTGCCACGTGCCCTGGTACCTGTAAGTGGAACTGCTTGTATGACTGCGTCTTCTTAGTTCATTCTCTAGCCCAATTGGTTTGGTCTTGGCTGTGTTTCTGGCAAGGGTGTGATATGACATTTATCAACAAGGGTTTCCTTCTGCTGATCGACGGATGACCGGAGCTATATTTACTTTCTCCGAGTTCAAAGTAAACTTTTTCTTTTTCTCTAATTGTGCAATGTGATTATATGTATTATCGCGGTAATTGACCATGCTACGGAGCTCCTTATTGCAAGATTTCTAGTCGCAGCTGGACCTATCCACTTGATTAATAGCACCCAGACCCTCTGAGGCTGAGAAGGATGCGGCACAGCACATAGCAAACAAATAAGAGAAATAATCCTTGTAAAGCCTGGTTCCTTATATGGTAGAACTTCCGAACGAGGAAATCAATAATAAAGGGGTCAGTTATGTTGCTCTGTATGTTTGACTAGAGTCATCCGCTACAACAGCGATATCTAATTTACCTTTTTCTTTTCCTTTTCCTTCTTTATCTTCCCTCTTCCGAACAGTCGTATGAATTTTCTAGCCAAATCTGAGATCATGGCTCATCAAACAGGCACAATTGTGCTGACAGGTGCCAATGGAGGTCTCGGCAGCGCCATGGTCTCTCGAATCGTGACTGATGAAAATCTGAGCGCCTCTCATGGCATTTACACCGTGCGCGATACCCGATCACCAGGTGCACTTCAAGCTGCTCTGAACAAAGCATCATCGTCATCGTCATCGACCTCGGTACACTCGCATGAAGAAATATCGCTCGATCTGTCGCGGTTGGACAATGTGCGGAAAGTCGCTGCCGTCATTAATGCGCAAGTCGAGGCGGGGACTATTCCACCTATTCGCGCCATCATTCTCAATGCTGGGTTCGAAGAAGCCGATCAACAGACATGGAATGAGGACGGCCTAGACATGTCGTTTGTCGTAAATTATCTTGGTCATTGGCTCTTGACAGTATTGCTGCTGCAAAGCATGGACCGCGAGAGAGGGCGGATTGTCTGGATCAGTAGCTGGTCTCAAGAGTGAGGCCCACCGCGGCACCAACCTTTCTGTCATATTTCATACTAACGTAATGCTTGATAGCCCCAAAAATTCGCATAATCAAAGGTACGGCGCATATAAAGAGGAAAGATACAAGAATATGGTTCTTGATGATCTTGAACCGCTTGCAAAAGGTACATGGAGTTCAAAGGCAGACGATAAGACCAACTGGGCCGCCGCATATCGTCGTTATGGTGCCTCCAAGATGTGTTGCGTGGCAATGATGTACGTTGTTTTCCTCTTTCTATTGTTTGAAACTCTCTGTTTGGTGTGTCGGCCCCTTGTTCTTACAATAATTTTGTTGAGCAGTCATGAGCTTCAGAAACGACTTGACCAAGATCCAGTCTTGAAGAACATATCGGTCCTCGCCATAGATCCTGGCGGCATGGATACGGGCATCATTCGTCACAGTCCTTGGTTGGTCCGGGTTTTATTCTTCAAGATCTTTGTCGGTCTTTTTTCCGGTCTCATGGTCCGGCGGAAACCCAACGGCACATGGCGCACGCCCAAAAAGTCGGCTCGCGACGTTCTCGCCGCGGCTCTTGCCAGTGGCCCGCCGCCACTGTCTGAACGGCCCAAAGGCGTCTATCTTAATGGTACTGTGCTCGGTGAATACAATCTTGAAGCGAAAGATCCGAAGAAGGGACAAATTATCTGGGAAGGCAGTGTTCGATTTGCGCAGTTGCGAGAAGTAGAGACTGCCTTACAGAACTGGCGGTGATGGAGGTTGATAAGTGTTATTAAAGCTGTAGGGTAGGACAAAGTGGTACGTTGAAGTGAGCCGCAGCACACCCGGGTGTATGAGAGTCCACGTTCACCATCTGGAAGACACTTGGTGAAGAATCATCCGCGTCAGATGCCAAGGGCGCCCATGCTTTCTTTGGTCCTTGGCGTGCTACCAATTATGCTTGAGCAATCCAATGAAATCCGGAACCGAAACGCCCAGTCTTTTTGAACGCAGAGTAATGATTTTTTTCCACGGATCCACAAGAGCTGCAAGTCACGCGGATGACCCGGATGCTGTGCTTGAATTGGCAGCGCAGGCCTCTCACTAGTACTCTATACCCGTCGCTTCAATCATGTTCTCGATAGGTTTACATCCGATGGCACAAGGATCTTAACTAAGCTAAGCAGCTTCCTATGAACCAATCACACAACTATCCGAAACCGAGGTGTCGATCATTTGCGATGATCAACTAAAGTAGATAAGCGCTGCTGCTTTTCCGGATTTGGCGTTGTCAATGCTATACTCGAATGGAGATTGATAGAGCTGGACAGTTTCATTTCATGGCCAAGATGAACCCTTCTCCAACCTTATTTCGCAATTGCAAAGCAAGCATTGATCGTCAAGACCATAGATCTGAGCTTCCAAAGAGAGGAAAAAGACACTGGAAGCCGAAAGCGAGAATGCGGAGATGTTAATATTTGATGCAACCTCACAATTGACCCTTAGTCTCTTGGCGACACTTTTGGACTTGATGACTGCCCAAAGACTTTTGTCAACACAAGATGTGCAAAGTTCCGAAATCGACGCTTTGAAAACACCATCGACAAATTGTTTGAAATAAATCAAAAGAACTCATCATATCATCTGATTTAAGCTATCCCAAAGAAATGGATCCTTACTCTATATGCTGCCATAGTGTAGGCCGTTCTAATCACTCGAGCGCCATCAAATAGGACTTGTGAATATGCGAAGCATCAAATGGAGATGGTGATAGTCAACAACAGCGACATCTACCCAAAGCTCATGCGCTTCAAAATAAATACCCATGCTCCTTGGAAGCCTTGGCCCCAAGACTTTTGATGATCAGCAAATGGCCGATGTTTCTCCAACAGCTCATTGTTGGACGATTGTTATACTAATCCTATGGATCAAGCATGCGGTCCAAGAAAAGCCAAGAGGATACTTGAAACAACTAATGGCGCGTTTGCAATTTTGTATGTCATGGTAAACCACCAAAACAGTACAGGTCGTTGGTTGTTCTTGAGAACTGGCATGTATATATTGCAAGAGCATCTGTTCTCCAAAAGAAAACTTTATCTATGATTCAAGCATCGAGTTCATATCTTCAATTGTCTCGGGGCATTCTACCATCGTTGAAACATGCTGTTTTACCGTTCTATTCTCGGTTTGGCCACAATCATTACGGTTGTGGCTTCCACTGCAGTCGAAGATGGGTGCAGTGCGTTGCTTTCCGAATACCCTGACAGGACTTTCTTTCCTGGTTCGGAGCGATACAAATTTGAGAATGAATGTAGGAACCATCCAAAGACTCCCCTTGTGCATGAATCAACGTCGCTGATATTCTATGCCTTAGACTCGTGGACCTCGGCGACCTATCTAGGCCCGTCTTGCATCTTTGCACCACAGTGCACGGCGGATGTACAGTTTGCGCTTCGTACCTTTCAAGAGAATCAGATCGAATTTGCCATTCGCGGCGGAGGTGCAATGCCCATCGACAACGCTGCCAACATCGGGCCAGAGGGTATCATGATGGCAATGACGAATCTAAGCAGCATGGCCATTGCGGATGACCTCCAGACTGTTGTCATTGGAGCGGGGGTCACTTGGCCTCCGCTGTATGCCTACCTAGATGATTATGGAGTATGTGCCAACGGCATTCGCTCCGGAAATGGTGGAGTAGTTGGCGCCATTCTTGGGGGAGGCCCCTTTGGGTTCATGGCTTATGAGTTTGGAATGTCGAACATTGCCAAATCCCTGGATGCAAGTGATACGATCAAATCTATTGGAAACAAGTGGATTGGCTAACATACTCCCATCGTGGTGCAGTGCGTTCTTTCCAACGGAACATTGGTCACAGCCAGTGCCGATGAGAATCCGGATCTTTTGTGGGCCCTCGTGGGAGGCGGCAACAACTACTGTGTTGTCGTTCAAGCCGTCCTCAATACTGTGCCGATTTCCTCTGCTCTGATCGGAACGGTTTCTTGGGGCCCCGGCGTTTCAGAGCAGTATATCAAGAGTGTCGAGCAGTTTGCCCTCCACGGCGCGGAATACCCCAAGGCCTCCTTTGAGGGTCAAACCCGTTGGGTACCGTCTCGCAGTAGCGAAATTTCATTTGATGGCTACCTTTGGTACAGCGGCGAGGGCGATGTCCCTCTAGGGCTAGAGAATTTCACCGCGCCCGTCCTTCCAATCACAAGAGGGAACCTTACCCGAACCACCATGGGCGAATGGACTAATTCATTTGAATATGCTCCTTCTCTCGGCACCCGAGCAATGTTTCACTGGTTGACTAGCGCTCCCAACGCTACAGCGGCAAGGATCGCGTTCGACACTTACTTTGAGTCCATTGCCTCACTAGCCGACGTCGAAGGGTTTTCGTCCACTTTCAGTATGCTTCCAATCACATCCATTGTGACAGCTGCTCCTGAGAATGCCATGGGGCTGGGCAACGACGACGGCCCGGCGATTTGGTACGTTGAGAGCCCTCTGTGGTCGAACCCAGAAGACGACGAGCGCGTGATTGCGGTCCACGCCGAAGCCAACGTCAAGATTCGAGAAAATCTTTCCGCTGCCGGGCTTGGACCACTCCCGTTCATGTATCTCAGTGACATACAAAAGGCACAGATTCCTGAGACTTACCCAGCCTATGGAGCCGAGAATCTGAAACGACTGAAGGAGATAAGGGACAAATATGATCCTGACCGGGTTTTTACTGACCTTGTTCCCGGAGGTGCCAAGGTCGCTCTGTCTTGATGAGGTGTTGGGTATCTTCGGCGAAGTGGGAAGTCAAAAGACTAATCTATACCACTATCGCGAATGTTGGCAAGAAATACGGCAAGTCACCGAGACGGAACATTGGGACTTTAATTGGTTCCCAATATGCTTTCATATATGGTCTCTTCAGTTTGTTCTCACGAGTTTCGTATCGATTCACGAGGGGTTGGCTCTCGAAGCTTTTACGAAATTTACAGATGTGCACAAAAGCATTGCGAGCTTGTAGAAATTGAGTCGAATTACAGCCGTAGTCATTTGGAATGCATTGGTTCAAGTGACCCCACGAATACTTCATTTGAGGATACTTAGGATTGTGTGCATGCTTCCACAAAGCTGTTTTCTTTTATCAAGCAAGTACCTAGTTTCTACGTCGCTGCTAAGGGGCACCCTCGAGGTCGTCGAAATGCCATACTCCTGATTGTCATTGAGAAGTGCTAACCGCTAAACGCAATCTGAAGACTACATTAGCAATACACAAGCACAGACGTGGCAAGAGCTGAGCATGCAGTCTGGTGCACAACATCTAATACACATGCGCATTTAGGGAGACACAAGGAAAGTGTACGCAAAGACCTGTACATTGTGATTGCTGTTTGACTCATGTATGCTAACTTAGAAAACCACCTACTCAAAGACACCAAATAGATACAAGAAAAGCTGATTGGTTCCTTCCCATGGCCGTTTGCACCCTCGCCGCCAGGCAACGAGGGCAGGCGCGCACATCACAAAGCGGTGAAACGTGGAACAGCAGCAGAGTGGCAGAATTTTGGCAAGTATAAATACCTCGACGTCCCCAGCCAAAGTCCTCTTTCTTTCTTCTTCCTTTTCTTCTTCAGGCGGTGGCGGCGGTGCAGGCGCATACTAACCCACCAGCATTGTCCGTGTCTGGGGATGGATCAAAAAGATCTCCAGGCTGCCGGCTACTCGACTGCCGGCAAGACACCTTGGCGGGGCATGTTCTACGGACTAATCTTTGGAACCGATTTTGGGTTGTCCTCGCGGCATCCCAAGATTCTCTTCTTCTTTTTTCATTGACAGCTAAGCCTTGAGCTTGGTGTTGAAGAAAAGAATGCAAGGCCAGGAACAAACGGCTGCCTGGATTTGTATTTTATACAGCTTAATTGTGTAACATTGGGGGACAAAGAAAGCCTGATAGTTGTGAATAATGTCTAGAGTTTCCAATAAGTTCAGGAACCTTGGTTTCATGGTCTCATGGTAACAGTTTCCTCTCTATGAAAAGATGCTGGGTGTGGAAACTCTCTTCCTTGATTTTTGTTTTTTGTGTAATAACACAACCACATACTGTGATGCCTGATTAAATGATGATGATAAAGGTGAACCTAGTGAGTTCCCGTTGATTCGCTGTCTTTGCATAGCTTGAGCCATCTTGAGCAACTGATATTGATGCTATCTGGTCCATCCACTCCATCCCACGCTCATGGATTATATCTTCTCCCATCGAGCCCTGACATCAAACAGACTCAATTGAATCCGTACAAAGCCAAAGCAGTCCCAATCGCTCCAGCAAACATTGCCGCCACGGTCACGTATGAAGATACGGACAGTAATGACGTACCGCTGATGCCGTGGCCAGAGGTGCACCCGCCCGCCATCCTTGACCCTATTGCAAGCAAGATGCCACCTCCTACTACTCTGAGGGGATCTGCATCCATCGTACTCATGCCTGGGGCTACAGGATACAATGATGAGATGATGCGGGCGCCCAGGGTCACACCAGCAACAAACACAACGGTCGGAAACGACAGAGCGTCCCCTGAACTCTTTCCACCTTTTGCCACGGACCAGAAACATTTCCCAACCTCTTCGAATGCCGTAGAGGTACCAAGAAGCGCTTTCCGAAGTGTTGCAGAGAGCAACTGAGATCCAGCAATCATTAAACCGCCAGTGACTGGATGTACAATGCCCCGAGAAGTATCAGCTTTTGCAGCCACTGCAATGACAACAGTCGAGACAAAGACCAACTCGATGGCCGCCACCACTCCCAAATCGCTGATTCCGAGTCGTTTGTCGAGTGATGTCGGCGGCGTCGTTTCGCTTTTCCTGCTGGAGGACTTTGATAGATATGGCTTCAGAATACCGGTCCAGAGAATTCCTCCAACGACCAGTCCTGACAGAGTGTACAGGCCAGACTCGATTCCGGCGCCGACCTGGGCAAAGACTGTTCCAGGGCATGATCCAGCAAGTGCCATACCAGCACCAAGCACGAGACCGCCGACAATATTACCGTCCATGATGCCGAATAGACCGATCGACGAGTAGCTTCGAGGACTCATGTTGATAATCTTTAGATGCTGCAATAGTGTCACCACGGCACTTTGTTTCGTCAGTATCATCCACAACAATGATGGATTATGGCTTTGATCAAAAAGGCTAGACATACGTGCTGCCCGCCGCAGCCGTCAGGAACGACTCCAGCATATGAAAGTTGCTCAGGGTTAGCTGCGAGAGAATGACTTCGGGCCTGTGCATCCCGGCCGCCGTCAAGGCAGCGCCAAAGGCAGAGCCGCAGAAGATGGTAGTCAAAGCATTCTTTGCATCCATTGTGTTGTCGGTTGATATTTTCGTGTCAGTATGCAAGAAATTGGTCAAAAAATCTAGAGACTATGCCAACAAGATAGAGGGAGAGTATCAACCCCTTGCGTCGAGATTTCTGGCAACTCGGATACGACGGTAACACCCAAGAGCAACTACCGTTTCGCTGCGGCGACCAGATTTGTCGTCGTGTCAGGGGCTCATTTTGCCGTCTTGAACAACATACTAGAGCGCATAATAGGGCACGAGGTATATCTCGGGGACCTTTCGAGGGCAGTTATCAAGGTGGGCTACCTAGGCTGTCGACAAGCTAATAATGATTTTTCTTCACTCCATCTTCGTCTTTCCACCATGAGCCCGAAGCCGGGCTCTTTTCCAAGTCGGTGCGGCCGACCGCAATTTCAACATCGCCGCCATGTTACTTATCAGTTGCGACCTTAGCAGGCCCAGCAACCACCTTAGCCTGAGCCCGGTCGAAGGAGCTGACTTGACCATGGGGCTTGCACAACACTAGCGGGCTCTCTTGCACATAGCCAGCATGAAGACTGTAAAGGCCTGCTCGGGCTTCAGAATTAAAAAAGAGGCTCGATTGTGCTTTCAATAAGTCTGACAGATGGTACGATTTGTGCGTCATGCCCAGGATCCAACGTGTCTGAGCAAGCATAACCCCACGAACGGTTTGTGCCTGCATGGAAGCATGGACGCCGTTGTGGAAAAAAGCCAGAACAGGAGTGCAGATCTCGGCCGGGGGCATTCATGAAACGTAGAACCCATCTGAATGGGTTCTTTTCGGGGTCCTGGGTCCCACGCGGCGACCAGAACGCCGTCCACTCGCTAGGTTCAAAAGTAGACGGCGACCATATCGCGGCTCCTCTAGGCCTCTGGGATCCCCTGACTCGGCGATCTCGGGCACTAAAAAGTTTGCCCCATGTGCCAGGTCGCCGTCAAGGCTCTCTCGAAATAGAGCGCGAAATGCTGCTTCAAGGGCAAGTAATTGCACAAATCAAATGCCGTTCATAAGATGTGTGAGATTAGTTGCATTAAGTGAAATAAATTATAGGCACGTATACCTGGCTATTCGGCGACCATAGAGAACCATGTTATAGATCGGCGACCTCGTCCTGCTTACGTTTACAAGCTAGGATGGTCTTCATTCGAGGTCAGGGGTCTTTGCAATTGGGTCGTTGCTAGTTTTGACTGTTGTTCGGTCCCGGGCAAGAGTATATATGAGTGTTACAAGCACCAGCTGCTGCATCGACTACAGTCGCCGTTTTCGCAACTTTTGCCACGAATATGGCGCTCGAATGGTGGAAGATCTGGACCTGTGGCCAACCAGTCAAGGCATAATTTCCCGTCTGCCAGTCAGAATTGACTGTATGCATCAGGTCACTGTCGCGAATTCATCAACCGATCAAGAAAAAGCAAAGAGGAGGTTATCAGCAAGTCGCAGGAGTTTCTACGTTGCCATGAGCAGCATAGAGTATTCCATGTGTGTCACCAGAAGAGCGACACTATACACGCAAAGGCAGGATTATTAATACTGCTTCAGTATGCGGTTTGCAGATTATGGCACGCACAGAGTTGCCGCCATGCTAAGGTGCACGAGTTACAGGGGTTGTTTCTAGAGCCGAGGTCTGCCAGCCAAGTTTCTCCAGTTCTCCGCTGCGCTGGGCCAACGCTCCAGCTTTAGAGCCCCATCTTTGGGAATAAGAGCGGCTTGACGTCTTCTCTAATGCGGGGTGCCTGAACCAATTGCAAGGCAAGACGCATTTTATGTCCATCATCAAGTTGAGAGGCCTCGGTAAGAAGCTTGATGATTTCTAAGACGATTTCCCTTCTTTGATTCAATTCTCACTCTAATCATCTACCATTGTCGTGAATGCTATGATTGTGTAGCCAACAAGTAGCAGCATAATACACTGTCCCAATCAACAGAACAACTTTATTTTCCGTGAAATTATTCATGTCAAAAACATTCACAGCTTCATAAAATACACATCTACACAATCATGTCCCGGACCCTTACTCTCAAGAAAACGCCGGGCAAACCGGGCCAGGTCTACTACCCGCTCGAGCTGAGTACGAAACCCGTTCCCAAGCCGGGCCCGGGTCAGCTGCTGGTCAAGATCCACGCCGCCGCCCTCAACCACCGTGACTTTTTCCAGCGCCAGGCCCTGTACCCGGGCCTATCCTTTGACCATCCGATCCTGGCCGACGGCTTCGGCACCGTCGTGGCCCTGGGCCCCGACGTGTCGCCGGCCGCCGCGAAGCTGCTCCACCAGCCCGTGGTCCTCACCCCGTCGCGCGGCTGGGCGCGCGACCTCGCCGGGCCCGAGCAGATTGCCAAGTTTAGCGTCATTGGCGGCGCGGCCCTGTATCCCGACGGCACGGCGCAGGACTACATTGCCGTGCCCGAGGACGAGGTCGAGGCCAGCCCGAGCCACCTCTCGCCCGCCGAGGCCGCCGCCCTCCCCCTGGTCGGCGTCACGGGCTGGCGGGCCCTGGTGACCAAGTGCGGATTGTCGCCATCCGGGGCCCAGGGCCGCAATATCCTCGTCACGGGCATTGGCGGCGGCGTGGCGCTGCAGGTCCTGCAGTTCGCCGTCGCCATGGGCTGCAACGTCTACGTGACGTCGGGGTCGGCCGACAAGATTGACCGCGCCGTGAAACTGGGCGCCCGCGGCGGCGTGAGCTACCGGTCCAAGACGTGGGACAAGGACCTGCTCAAGCAGCTCCCCAAGGACCGACCGTTTCTCGACGCCGTGGTCGACGGCGCCGGCGGCGACATCGTCGGTCGGGCCTCGCGGCTGCTCAAGCCCGGCGGCATCATTAGCTGCTACGGCATGACCACGTCGCCCCGGATGGACTGGGTGATGCAGGCGGTGCTCAAGAATGTCGAGCTGCGTGGTTCTACCATGGGGTCTCGCGGCGAGTTTCGCGACATGGTGGCATTTGTGCGCGAGAAAAAGATTACGCCAATTGTCAGCCGAACGGTCAAGGGCCTAGATAATTTGGCTGAAATCGACGGACTTTTTGAGGATATCAAAGAGGGGAAACAATTTGGCAAACTCGTCATTGAGATCTCAGAGCCTGGAGCCGACAAGGTAGCAGCCAAGCTGTAAGAATACGTTGCACACTTGTAGAATTTTGCTTTCAATACCAATAATGATGATTGATTTAAATTCGGGGGCCACGGAACAGCATATTTTTTTATTTGCCAGCAGCCATTCAGCGTTCGAAAACGGTGCGTATCAACCCGAGTTATGTCAAAAATATGTGTAGGCAATATGGTACAATGGTTATATTGCTAGGCCCTAAGCCGGCCACTGCATAGGTGAAATTTTCACATCATGTCAAACGGGCCAGGCGGCACCGATAACATTCCGCATACCCCTCTCACACGTAGGGGTCAAAGTATACCCTGAACCGATTCCTCGATCCCCCTTTCTAGGCCTTTCCCAAGGCTCTAACCGTTGCAAAATTAAATCAAAAGTTTCGCCATGAAACGCCCATTCTGCCAATCCCTAGTTTGTTTGGTTTCCTACAAAGCCGTTTGCCTTGCCTAAGCATAGACCCCGGACTGCTCCCACAGTAACCATGGCTTTGAATCATGGTGTTCCTTCGTCATCAGATGTGGCCGACTCGGGCGCACTTTTTGGTGAGGAAGATAAACTGATTGCAATCTTCTTGGGTCCACCACCAGCATCCCGGGCGCCCGAAAGACGCTTCTTCTTCCCGAGAATGCCGGATGTACTCGAGGCATTGGAACTAGCCGATGTACTGTTGCGTCTCTTGTGAGCCACAAGTTTTCCGATCTCGTCCTCTTCGTCCTCTTCTCTGCGGCGCTTCTCGGAGAGCCTTTCGGGCGGGCTCGGCAAAGATCCCAGGCCCTTGGATTCTTCATCGTCCGTCTTCTCGTCATTGCCTTGGCTATCGCTGACCAGATCGCCCTCTTCAATACTCTCGTCGATATCCTCATCAGATGCGTAATCAACCAGTTTAGCAGCCGGTAAATTGCCATTAGCCGTTGTTGGTGCGCCATTGGAAATTCTGGCCTGGAGCTCATCCTCCTCGTCGGAAGTGTTCCAGTATTCGTCATCGTTCTGATCTACTGCAAGCTGCTCCATGATGCCAGTCCTTGGGTTCATGACCTGCCCCTGCCTAGCCCGTCTGGACTCTTCCTCCGGCTCAAATGAGGTGTCCGGTGGTGGCGCCGTAAAGCCTTTCGTTATTTCGTACTTGGTGAGTATCCCCTTGAAGGGTTCCATGTAAGCAAGCTTTTCGATTCTCTCACGGAACTCTTCCACTACATGCTTAATGAGATCTTGAAGACCTTCCTTCTTAATGTGTTCAAAGAATTCAAGACATGCAGATGTCAGCAGATTGTCCCGAGGCATAGTAGCAAACAACACATCGAGAATGCTGGTAACGACGGAGCCTTGAGTGATTTGCTTGATGTAAAACTCATCCTGGATGCCGATGAGTTGACGTAGGAACCTAATGGCAACTGTTTTCTTGTTAGCCTGCACAAAAAGCGCTTTTGGACTGAATGCTTACCGAGCTTTATGAACTTTTCCGAAGATTTCAAAAGCTTCTCAATGTGCCTCACAATGTTGTGCTCTAGGACAAAGTACTTGCTGCGGTGGTGATGCTGCCGAATAAAGAAGCATAGGATCTCGATGAGATAGGTGAACATGGAGGCTTGCTGGACTGTGAAGTCCATACTGGTTCGGCCCTCAAGAGCCATCAATGGCGCAAAGAGCCGCAGCGCAGATTTCTCGTAGAAAGACTCGAGAAACCTCTCCTGCTGGGGATCAATGGCCGCTTGTAGCCTTGCCTGGGCAGCGCGCGCTGCGTAATCACCGTTTGCCTTTGCAAATGCTTGCTCCTGAAGCAGCGGACCTTGGTCGAGTAACACCTTGAGCGCATCGGACACCTGGGACTTTACGCCCAAGTCCACTTCTACCAAGAGGAGATCAATCAGAGAGTCAGTAAGCGGTGGCTGATTCTCGCTGAGCTGTCGATAGATGGTCTGGCGTATCATTTGAGGGTCGTGGTCTATCATGCACACCATAATATCAGTAGCTCCGACGCGGACTGCAGTATCCGCGTGCCGCAGGCCGTAATTGATGACAGGCAAGAGTCCGTGAACAAGAAAGTTGTTATACAACGTTTGCCGAGCCGGTGGTTGAAGATTTTTTGCCACGGTGCAGCATTGCTGAATGAAAAGTACCGCGTCTTTTTTCCTCCTGTTATCCTCGCCCACTTGCTTGAAAATGTCAAACAGTTCCATCAAGAAATTTGAGTTTGCTTGAATGTGCTGTACAATATCCACTTGGTTAAAGAATATCAGCGAGTTTAGTACCGAGAAGGTGTTATCATCCAGGATACGGGCCAAGACGACATCCTTGAGATATTGCAAGCGATAGGTCTGGTGGATCTTCTTCTGGATCTGGGCGTCCTCAATCTTGACAACTTCTTTGAAGCGGCTCTTATCCTCGAGCCACTGACGATGATTGGCTTTGTGACTTGGAAAGTCCGGGTCGTATTCCAACGCTCCGACGACACCAATAACACATTCGTCGGATACGGCATGCTCAATGATATTGGTGTCATTCAGCAGAATGATGATCTTCATGATGTTGCACAGGCGATGTAGGTCATTCAGGCTTTCCATATCTTCAGCGTCCGACACAAGCGGGCACAGCTTTCCAATCAGCTGCTCAGTCAACACGTATTTCGTCAGAGCATCGCGGCCACTCGCAGTGTTACTCATCATGCGTAGTTGTGTCTCGATTTCGGGGAGATTGCGTAGATTTGGCTCCGGTAAGGTTATTGGATTAGGCGCGTCCATGGCAAGGTCGTCGGAGAAGCTGTCGTCGGCACCGCTGAGGGCGCGATAGGGCGCCTGAATCTGGTTGATGAAGCGCCATATCATTGTACAGCCCTCAGCCTCCTGGAAGCTGAGGGCCATGTCTACACCATTACTAGGCTCGGTCCATACGATCAGGGTTTCTATGCAACCAGGCACGGTCAGTTGTCATGCTGCCATAGCATTTTATCAGTCATGAGCCTGGAACATACCCTGCTGTTTGTGAAATGAATCCCCTTTGGCGACTCGTGTCTCCAGTAATATGCGGTGAGGTGGATCTTCGGACTCGACCGTCACTCTAGGTTCTCTCTGGTCACCGTCAACCTACGCGCGAATTTGAGTTAGCGGACATTCTTGCTTCCTTGGATCTCTAGTGAATGTGCAGACGAAGAGTGATCGCGGCAATGACAGATGTCGCACAGACGCGCGCAACGATGATGACGACGAGGAGGAAGTATGATAAAGGAAGCGGTTCATGGCGCTGTCAGCGGCGCCCTGGATTGCGCCGCGCTTCGGACCTGGGCAATGCGAGAAAGGTGAAAGACTGACGTGTATGGCGGCTGTACAGAAGCCGGTGCCTCGGTCGAACCAGTCATTGTTGCGAAGCTCATAGACTTTGACACGCTTCTTATCCGTCGACTGATGAGGCACAGGCTGTGCCGCCATCGTCAACGGCTCTTCGGAGTCGAGGTCGGGAGCCAGGCGACTGTTGTACTGAAGCAGTTCGGGCGCGAGGTCGAGATGCTGCTGGAGCGAGAGTTCCGTGTCGGCCTGACTGAGGAGGGTAAGCGCAGCCAGCTTTTCGACGTGATGGTAAGGTGCGCGCTAGGAAACGGGCGCGCACGCGACGGGAAGGATGGAGAGGTTGGTGTGAGGTCAGGATTGAGTTGTCGTTTCGTGACCGTGATTATGCAAATATGCGCAGTTGCGGGTCGGGGGTCGGTGACGGTGCGAGGCGACTAGCGAGAGAAGATGCGTGGACCGTGGGACCGTGGCAGCGTGGATCGTGGCTCTGGCCTGGCGTCGGGTGGGACCCTTTTTTTTTTCTCCTTCCCTGCCTTGGGATGAATGGGACTGGATCGTTTGTTGCGGCAGGCGGCGTGTGGATCTTGGCCTTGGTGGCACTGGTGGGCGCTGTATCCGTAGTGTAGCTCCTCTCTGTCACCACGCATCTGCCAGCCAGAGTTGATATTTTATTTTTTTTCTTGCCCGCCTGCTCCCTGCTCTTCTGGCGGGCCCGTGCTAAGGATGCCGCCGATGGGCAGGTGTAGGGGGTCGTGGCGAGTTTTCGGTGGGCACGCGAAAGCGGGAGAACGGGCAGAAAACCACACAATGATAAGATGCCGGGGGGCCACCCAAAAAAACAGATTAATATCACGAAAAGATCAACGGTCAACCGGTATTAGCAAATAGATCGCATAGGGATTCGCGCAGCAGCCCGTGGGCCAGTGTGTTTCGAGGCTGAATTTAGGTTGATGATCCCCTGCGCGCCGAGTGTGACGTATTTTGTTGGTAGAGTTTAACGGATTGGATGCTGGGCCGCGCCAAACGCACGCACGCAAGCAAGTCAACGCTCGGTTAGGAAAGTGCCAACCGTACGTATGTAGACGTGCAATTGAATCAAAAGTGACAGAAGCGCAATGTCTAATCGCAATGAGACAAGAAGCAACAGGGAGATGGTGAACGATTCCCGTTGGTAATGCGCGCGATGAGGCGGGCAATGCTATGAGTGGGAAAAGGTGGAAGTCCGTGAGGAAAAGTCCGGTCGTGCGCCGTGTGGTGTGCGATGTGTTTGCCGATGCGTTGGGAGGGATCCCTGCTTCAAGTGGCGGCAAATTGGCTCTACGCAAGCTGGGCAACTTGGCAAGGGTCACAACACAAAGAAGATGAAAATCGAGAGAGTAAAACTCGATGAACACAAACGAGTCACAACGTCGCGTGAGCAAAATGAGTTGACATATATTCCAAAAACAACCGTTTGCCTTTACCTTTGCCTAATAGATGCCAAAACTTCGAGAACATTTCTGCTTCCCTTTCCTGGTTCAGGCCTTGGGAAGGTTCTGACTGGGCTCATTGACGGGCATCGATCCATCCATCAACCAACCAGTCAGAGCCATAAACCGCAAAATAATATGGGTCTCTTTCACGCAACATGGACTTTAGATTTTGGGGTCCTGGTTTGATTTTTCCTACATGACCGCATCAATGTTCCGTCAAGCAGGTACCCCAAATTATGTCTTGACAGGTAGATACTACAGACAAGATATGTTTTTCTTGGGTACTGTCCATCCTTGCCCTTACACACAGGGTACCTAGCGAGGAGGCTGATTCGCCGAGTTCTGTTCTTATATCATGATCACAGCAGGATAACCTGTGCAATAAATGACTTGCGATATATTCATGATTCTAGGATCTTATTCTGCTACTCCCGAGGTCTTTCCCTGCCTTTAATCATAGTATTTTTCCAGGGCGTTTCCAATGACCCTTGACCTGGCTAACCTAGGACCCTCCCAAGACCTCCGATGTCTGCGTTTAACCTAACTTAATGCTTGCTCCCCCAGTCCCCCAGTCCCTCGACCCGTTCTGCCGTCCGCCCGAATGGACCCCCAAATCCACTAAGGCAGACACCAAAATCTAGGTGCCAATCGTCGCGCTTTTCCGGAAAAGTTGTGACGAAACCTTGCTCGGCACGTGCCCTATCTCAAATGCTATGTCCATTCCGTGATGCCTTCACTTATTTCGTACCATGTAAACTGATACCAGCCAATCAGCAAGAATATTTATAACTCGCTCATCTTAATTGTCATCTAGATAGCTCTTTTGTTCCTTCTTCTTTTTCTTCTTCTTTTTTTT